TCATTTTGACGTAATGTCTGAATGACTGCAAACTGTAATGAAATGTTTGAAATGAAAACAAAAAATAATAAAATTTTGGCACAAAATGAACTGTAAATTAAAACTTTTAATAAACTTTTAAAACATAATTAAGTTTTTTAATTAACTTTTTGTGTAATTAATTGAAATCCAAACCAAATTCAACTCATATTTGGTGTCGTTTTTGGGTGTATTTGTCACTCATTTTGAGTCTATTTTATCGTGTTTTTGGTGACAATATTGTGGTGAATCTGATCCTACGGGTGATGTCCAGACGTGTGGCAGTAGTGACCGGCGCTAACAAAGGCATCGGCTTTGCTATCGTGAAGAACCTCTGCGGCCATCCCTTCAATGGGGACGTTATCCTCGCCTCCAGAGACGAGTCCAGAGGTTTGGCAGCCGTTAAGGCTCTGAATGGGTTGGGATTTAAGCCGATATACCATCAGTTGGACATCGATGACAACGAGTCCATCAATACGTTGAAGCAATACCTGATGGATAATTACCAGGGATTGGATGTGTTGGTCAACAACGCGGCCATCGCTTACAAGACTGACTCTACGGCTCCCGTCGAAGAACAGGCGGACAATACGCTGAAGACTAACTTCTTCTCCACCCGTAATGTCTGTCAGAAGTTGTTTCCGATTCTCAGATCACACGCCCGAGTGGTGAACGTGTCCTCTTCGGCAGGAATGCTGAGGAATGTCAGAGGTTTGGATCAGTTGTGTTGATCGACAATAGGATTTATTTAATGGGTTTTGGTTTTACAGACGAATCTCTTAGGAAGAGGTTTTCTGATCCCAATCTGACGGACAAACAATTACTGGATTTAGTGAACGAATACCTGAATGATGTCCACAGCGGCCAACACGTGCGGAAGGGGTGGCCCAACAGTACGTACAGCGCGTCCAAGATCTCCCTCTCGGCCCTCACTTTCATCCAACAGCGAGAACTCGATGCGGACCCGACTCGTGAAGACATTGTGGTGAATGCCGTCCATCCGGGATATGTGGACACAGATATGACGAGCCATAAGGGGCGGCTCACTATAGAGGCGGGAGCTGACGCGCCCTCCTATTTGGCTCTATTGCCCCACAACTGCAACGAACCCAAAGGCGCTATGGTTTGGACGGACAGACAGATTGTCGACTGGACTTCCGCTTGAATTGCAATAATGTATTGATTATGTTTTGCATAGTTTTTCATAAAAACTTTGGTACTGTTTCTTATAAAATGTTATGCACTATATTTGGGTCTATTTTAATCACTTTTATATTCAGTACCTACCGTATAATGATTTAAAATATGGTTTATGATTTATTCGTTATTTACCGTACAATTGGGTTCATAAAATAGTTGATATTTAATAATATTTACTTGTAATGGTACATGAATTTTGGGTTTTGATAATCACTGATTATTAATCAGTGTTTGTTTATGTTACCGGTATTTAATATCTATATTTTATATAAATTGCAACTTATTTTATATATTATAAAATCCATTTATTAACTATTAAGCAAAGTTATGAGCTATAAAATAAATAGTTAATGGCATGATCATGGCATTAGTCGTATTATAAAATAATTTCACAAACTTACAAGTTGAATTTATGTGAACTTTTAATATAAATGCCATGATAAAAACATATAAAAATCACTTATTCAATAAACACAACCAAATTAGTTGTTACTACCGTAGTACTCATGTTTAGTTAAATTTAAAGTATATCAAATAGCCCAAATGGTCATATTTCTACAAACTGAGATAATGATTAGATTGAGATAATGTCTGTATTTAGGAGGCAATCTATTCCGACAGTGATGTTTAAAAAGGCAGATATAGAGAGAGACACATCTTAACCCAGGATTGAGACATTATTTAATATACAATTTATGATCATTCACTTCAATCTATGAAGAGATGTGACCGAAGACTGGATTCTGTAGTGAAGTATTCGTTAAAAATAAATGGACTTTAATGAAGGTTGTGGTCAATAGCTATCATAGCATTGCTATGCACTGTATAAGAGTCTCACAGAAAGACTGAACGCACTGTAAGACTGATATGACTGTAAACTTAGAGTTAAATACTTTGAGACCATTTTCGCACAAAAAGACATTCATTTGGCGCACATTTGAGGACACGTTGTCTCCACTTGGCTTCAAACACATCCCATTCATACACTCATCCATACAATGAATGTCCAGTCGTTGGCGATGGCTCTCAACCAAGACATCGCTTCCAAGAGTCGTGTCATGAAATTTGAGGACACGTTGTCTCCACTTGGCTTCAAACACATCCCATTCATACACTCATCCATACAATGAATGTCCAGTCGTTGGCGATGGCTCTCAACCAAGACATCGCTTCCAAGAGTCGTGTCATGAATGACGAAATCTTAGGTCATATTCTGAAGGACTTAAGAATCAATCAAGTGATCCGATTGGAGTCAGTTTCCCAACAATTCATGGATTGTATCTCAACTGCTCTCAAGTCTTGGGACCAATTAATAGTTGGCAAATGTCTCCTCATGTCCAAGAATTGTTGCGTTGAGTGCAAGACCTTTGACATCAGCGGCGCATTTGATCACAAGAGCCATTACCCCAACCAAAGAGTCTGTTGCTATGATTTGACCAGAAGTGGGCATCTATTGGATTCATTTCTGCAGAAGTGCCCAAACATTCAATTTCTTAGTTTAGGCTTCAGTCCCATCGACTTCAAGACATTGGAGATGATTGTCAATCGTTGTCCACAATTGGGACAATTGACTCTAATGGGCATTCAGATGGTGGCACAGACTGATGAAGAATGCAAAGAATGGCAGAAACTATTGTCTCAGTCAAAGGTGGTTTGCATCACACTTTGCGAGATTGAAGGCGAAAACCTTCAAAACCTATTGAAAGTGATTGAAGAGTTGCCATCACTGAAATCACTCAGCATAGGAAGCGACGACATGATAATGTTTGCCAAATATCTACCAAAAAGTCTTCGATACCTTTCCTTAAGAGGAGATTTTAATGGCATTTCAATGGAGACTTTGGTTACCAGATGTGCCCAATTGGATGAGCTCTCTATTACTGATTACGCGGAATCACAGCCTCAATGGGATCGACAGTTGGCTAAAGTATGCGATAATCTTCAGCTCAAGAAGTTTTCCTTTTCATTCAACCCTCTCGACTCCTTCGATGTCGATGTCATTACTGAAAACATCTCTAAACTCAAAGACAACTTAAATAAGTTAACTTTGGAGGTAATCACGGAATTTGACACAACTCTCATGCAATCGATGACTGCATTAAAGACTTTGAAAATGAAAGGAATGCTGATTTGGCCCCAATTGTGGTCGAATTTGCCACAAATGGCACCAAATGTCTCACATTTGTTTCTTAAGGTGATTTACATCTTTTGCGAATGCAATGCACGCAAAGAACCGAATCAATGCAATCAATGTCTTCAAGAATTCCTCAAATATGTGTCCAAAATGCCAAAACTCAAGAGATTGGACATTAAATGGATTGAGGGCTTTCCTGACATGGATTCCCAATCACTGAATCTATTCACTGAACTCAATGTCTTGACACTGGATGGCTATAAGAATGTCAAAGAATTGGTGGCTTTTATACAGAATTGTATTGAGAAGAGAATGTCGAAGAAGAATATGAGTCTTGATTTGGATGAAAGTGTCAGAAGTGAACTGAAGGACACTTTGAAAGCTATGGGCGTCTCTGTTCCCAAATATTTGTTCATTTAATTTGAGATTTCATTCAATTAGTCTCACACCTAATGAAAATCAATTGGTTTTTGCTTTTTTCAGATATACTCTCATTTTTTAATTCAATTAGATTTTACTCAATCAATCACTAATTGCATGAATATTCTCTAAGATTTGCATGATATGTGTGTTAATTTAATCTTAATTTTCTAATTGATTTTAATTTTTAATTTGTTCATTATACTCACTATTATATTAATTCAATTTGTTTTATTGGTTTTTAAAAATATTTTGATAACTTTTATATTTTTAATTTCTTTACGAAATAAATAAGTAATTTAATCTGTATTTTGAATTGTTTTCAAATAAGGAATTTATCAAAACATAAATGTTGTCTTCATCACTTATTGTATTTGCTTTTAAAATAAACTGATTATAACTTTTAATTAAAACTTGTAATTTATTTATGAAAATGTTTCGATTAACTGATTGCCGTCCTATTCAAACAAATTAATTGAAAACTTGGAGAAATGATTATTAATTGACTAGAATGTAGACTTTATATAGAAAATAATTAAAACTTGTAATTTATTTATGAAAATGTTTCGATTAACTGATTGCCGTCCTATTCAAACAAATTAATTGAAAACTTGGAGAAATGATTATTAATTGACTAGAATGTAGACTTTATATAGAAAGTAATATATAATAAAGAGTTGATTAAACAATTTAATTAAAATGTTATTCAAATATTCATGAATTATAAGTGAGATATTGAAGACGCGATTCATACGAATCATAAACTATTGGAGAGAAAAAATTTCTTAATTCAATGTTAATGACAGTAATGAGTGTATGGGCACAAAGTTAGGCATTATTTCACATATATTTGGCGTACATTTTCTCTCTGACGGCCTCCTCCTCCACACCGCACGACATTCGCTCATTAACTCAAATTTTGCACCTTTTCCTCCAAACCACTCTTATCATACCTGTCCTCCTATCCCTCCATACCATACCAAACACACACTCTCTATATTCCAACTGTTATGTAACCAAATGTTTTTCGCTTATATTTAGCTCAATATCTATTGAACTCTCGATAAACTTACGATAAGTTTAATCGAAAAGTTTTCTCAATTTCTATTTTCTCAAACATTGACTGCATATTAGTAGAAGTCCTCGAAACGATTGAATGCATTTCCATAAATTTTAGCATATAATTAGTGTGTTTAAAAATAAATTTCAATAATTACAATCGTATGTGTTATTGATTTTATTGTTTAAATAATTTACATAAAATTTATTTATTTGTTTATATAAAATATATCATAAAATCATTAATTTTATTAAATATCTAATTAAATACCAGGTAAATGATTATACTTTATTAAAATATTTCTTACTCGTTATTACATTCATAAATAATAATATTTCAATTAAAAAACTAATTTCGAAGAAATACTGATAAAAACACTTTTAAGATTAAAAAATATTTAATTAAGAGAAAATACTTTAAAATTTTTATTTCAAAAATGTCCAAAATTGTCTACACCTTAATTGTAAAATTTTGCTATTTGACTCTATATACAATGTGCAATGTTTGATATTTTGTAAAATATCTAGAATTTCATTGGAAATGTTTTTCATATAGACTTAGAAAATAGTTTTCTTTTTAATTTGAAACCAATCTGATTATGGAAAAAAATATTAAAAATATAAACAAACTAAATGTCTGGCTATATTTTTTTAATGTGCTGTCCGAACAGTACTGATTGTCGGCTTAAATCAAAAGTTGTGTTTAAGGCGAACCTCAATAATATATCCGATATATAATATGATACTCACGCGTTACCACTAATTCCCTGTTAAACCCAAACCCCAACTAAAAACAGGCGATACATGTCGTGTCGGATCCATAGGAAAGGCAGGTGTGCTCCCACTTTGCTTTTCGACTCAACATAATTCAGTATTCTGTGTTATTTTTTATTGAAAAACAGTTATTTTTTCGGTACTTATGATTAATGTATTGTATTATGTACATAATTTGTTTTGCAATATTTAAATAATATTCTCAAACGTCTTAAAATTGTCATTAGCATGTTTAGACATACAAAAATTACCTAACTTATGTGAATACTATCATATATACTATTAAAAATTATTACAAAAAGCTAAATTTTACATTATAAGACTTTTATAAGAATATTAAGTTATAAATAATAAAAATCAATCTCTCATAATTAAAATTTTTATGTGAAATTTCTATATGAATATAATTACAACAATAATTACAATGTTTATTCAGTGATATAACAAATATTTAATTAAACATATAAGAAAATTATTTGATGTCATGTAATATATAAAATGAACATAGTATAACCTTATTTTTATGTAAATTCTTGTTTTATGTGAATTAAAAATTCTTAAAACTTAAATATTAACATTTTGAACATGAATAAAAGTTTACAATAAATTATAACAAATTAAAT